AGTAAATCATCACATCACAACATTAATTACATTCAAATCAAACATTAAATGCTCCTAAAAAGGTGGTAACAAGGATATTTTGAACATTTTGCACCAAAAAAGTGACATGTTTGCTAACAAAAAGTGAAAGTGACAATTTTTTTGAATTTTCAAATTTAGTGACATTTTTGAAAATTCCTCATTTAAATATACAAGTGTAACATCAAACAAGGTGGCCAAGAAAAGTTGGGTCTTTTTCCATTTTCAAACACGATAAAGTCCAATGTTCGTACTGCCGACCTAGTTGGTGACGCCACTCATGATGTAAAAACACAAACGTTGTTTTTACTTGACCATTTCTTCAACTTAGATGGCCCACTTGCCTCCATGCCATGTCAATTTTGATTACGTCGAAGGTGATGCAAAACGCAAGCAATTAATGGCTTTTATTCATGGTAAATAAAAACTGTCAAACAAAATACAAGAATCATATAAAATACAAATTTGTACAAATGAAAACTTTACCACGGATTGAAAATAAAAAAAGAAGACCATTCGTAAGTTTATAGTTTATACTGTTAAGTTATTCTAAAAGTTGTCGGATCATTTTTTAATTAAATTTTATCTTTGACCATTTATTGTTGTTCGCATGTCAATTCATTCATTTTTTTTAATCATGACACGAGGACTTTTTTCATAATTGAACGAAATTGAAATCCAAACTCAAAAATTTCTAGGGGTGAAAAAGGAAATACATATATCTATAATTTATCTGGTTAAGTTTTATTGTCATACTCCAACACATAAGGATGTCAATATGGCTCATCAGTTCGGGTGGCTCGTGATTCGATTCCAAAAAAGTTCGAGTCGGGCAACTCGTGGCTCGGTGGGGCGTCGGCTCGAGCCTGATCCAGTCCGTGCGCCTAAAAAATAATTTTAAAAATTTTTACAAAACTTAAAAAAAAAAAAAATAATAATAATAATAATAATAATAATAATAAAGCTCACAACTGCCTACAGGCAGCCACGTTTTTTTTTTCTTTTAATTTTAGCTGTAGTTTTTTAATATATTAATATTTAGTTATTATTTATAATAAGTATAAATTGCACAAATTTAAATTCTTTAAAAAAATTAATATTTGTCACGAATATTAAAAAAAAAAAAAATCGAGCCGACTCGGCTTGGGTCTAGCTTAAATTTTTTGACCAAACTTTTGCTCAGTTCGAGTAAGACCAAAAAATTCATAAAATCATTTTTACTCGAGTTGAGCCCTAGCAAAAAATTTCGGCTCGTTGACACCCTACCAAAATTAAGATTCTCATATACCAATATTTTGACTTAATTCTTCATTAAGAACGGTTAGGATATCCCAATTGCAATTTGAAGAGATTTTCTTGCCCCTTATGCCACTTTCAATGTCCAAGTGGATGAATAGAGTCCTATTCCTCTTTTACTTTGACCTTTGAAATTCGTGACTTTATATTTACACATACACGAATGGTCATCCATCTCTTTGCCCCTTCACGTCCCAAAAGTCTCTTTTGACCTTCCCAAAAGTCCCATACATTAATTCTTCAACCGATATATAATCACTTGCATGCATTCTCTTTACATAATTCATTAAAAGATATAAAACATTTAAAGAATGAGTACTACTTCTGATGAAGGTGGAAGTTATACAAAGAAATATAAAGGCATTCGACGTCGAAAATGGGGCAAATGGGTGTCGGAAATTCGAGTTCCCGGAACGCAAGAACGTCTTTGGTTAGGCTCTTATTCAACGCCTGAAGCCGCAGCAATAGCACACGATGTTGCATTTTATTGTCTACGAGGAATTTCATCAGTGGAGAAACTCAACTTCCCTTTAATGCTACCTGCAAGTGCCCGGACAGGATGGTCACCCAGGTCAGTGCAAAATGCGGCCTCCGATGCTGGCATGGCCATGGACGCTCAATTATTTTCGAAGAACAACACGAATAAACAGGAGAATGGGAAGGAGGAGGATATGAATTTGTTGCAAAATGAGTATTGGGAAACATCATGGGAGGGGAGTAGTAAGTCCAATGAAGGTGAAGCTTTGAGCATTTCAGTTGAAGATTATCTACAGGTTACTTGGATCGATTCTTCAAACTTTTCTAAATTTGAAGATCATTTCTAGTGTTTATGTTATAGAGATATATGCGTTCTCAGAGAGAAAACAATAGTGACTCCGGGAACTCTATTGCAGGTAAAAGTTTACAAATATAAACGGCATTAGAGAACATTGATGTTGACAAATGGGACTGGAGTTTAAAACGTTTTTGTAGTTATATAGTATAATATAGGAAAAGGGAAGAAAAAGTTTTTCTTCCACTTGGTTGGTGGATAAGTTGTGATTTCGCCTATGTAACACAGTGAAATTGGTTCATGTTAACAGTCAAAAGTGATTAATTTATTTGAACCAAAACTATTTTTATATACGAATTTCCTATGGAAACCACAAACACGAAAGCGCGTTTTAAGAATATAGGAAATTCTCGAAACCGAGAGCAATTAATACACATATGTCTCAATGCGATTCTCACTTCGCCCAGTTTATTGACAAGATATATGAAAGCATTAAATTAATGAATACACGAACACGAATTAATACTTCGAAGTCAAAAACATGAAAATTGAATTACAGCTTCAAAACAAAGGTTACATCTTTGTCCGGTCCTAGCAGTAAAAGAAACTATAAAAACACATGAAATATAAAAGATTATATACATAGCCTAATTTCACGAATGCTGGGATTTTGTTGCCAAACAACCGCAATGATGTGTTCTAATTGAACTTCAGGATATTTAACGAAAATTGAATATACTAACGGGGCTTGATATTTTCACACCATAAAATCGACTACCCAATTAAAGAAGTTGTTTTGAGGTGTAACAACTGCTAAACTGAGAAGAGTAAATCAATAAAGAGAGGAAAGACGAGGGAAATCAAATTGATTCAATTGAATTCAAAAATACAGAAATGGAAAGAGGGCTAATTATATACACGAGGCCAGCTAACGATCCACAGAATGAACTAAGCAAAAAGATAGAAATGCCCCTGAAACAACTAATTAATATCTCAACACTCCCCCTCAAGATGGCGAGTGCAAATTTAACACTCACATCTTGCTAAGAAGCAAAGCAAGCCGTGCTCCAGTTAAAACCTTAGTCAACAAATCAGCCAATTGCAACTGAGAAACCGTGTACAACATTTTAACCTCATTGGCTTGGACTTTATCTCGCACCAAATGACAATCTATCTCTATGTGCTTGGTTCTTTCGTGGAAAACGGGGTTGCTGGCCATGTCGATTGCAGACTGATTATCACAAAACAATAATGCTGGTCTGCTATGATCAATTCCCAAATCATTCAATATATATTTCAACCATGTAAATTTACAGACCGCTGCTGCCATAGATCTGTATTCAGCCTTAGCTGAAGAACTTGATACTGTATATTGCTTCTTGGATCTCCATGACACTAGAGAACTCCCCAAGAAGATACAATAACCTGTGACCGATCTTCTTATATCTGAACATGATGCCCAGTCAGCGTCACAATACCCCTTCAACTGAAGATCAGATTTGCTAGGAAAGAATAGCCCTTGTCCTGGTGTACTCTTCAGGTATTGCAGTATATGATAGGTTGCCTCCAAATGAGGCCATCTTGGAGACTGAAGAAATTGACTCAAAACCTGTACAGGATAAGAAAGATCTGTCCTGGTTATGGTTAAGTACAGGAACCTTCCAACAAGTCTTCTGAAAATACTGGGATCAGCTATAGGTTCTCCTTCATCCTTTCTAAATTGCAAATTATATAGCAAGGGGCTATTAGCTGGTTTAGCATCAAGATACTGAGCGTCTGTCAGAACATCTAACGCATACTTTCTCTGACATACTGATATGCCTGTTGAGTTCCTTGCCACTTTAAGACCCAGGAAGTACTTCAGAATGCCTAAATCCTTAAGCTTGAACTGCTTATTTAACAAATCCTTGAACTGATCAATGTAAGTCAAATCATTTTCCCCAAGTATAATGTCATCAATGTAGATTCAAAGGATGGTGAACGAGCAGCCATCCATCTTGCTGAACAAAGAATGATCTGATTTTGATTGTTTAAAACCCTGTGATAGAATATAGGAAGTCAGTTTCACATTCAATTGTCTCGAGGCTTGTTTCAAACCATATATTGACTTGTTCAGTCGACAAACCAATTGTTCACCTCTCTCCCCCTGCTGCTCGTAACCAGGAGGCATAACCATATAAACATCCTCAGCCAATTCATCATGGAGAAAGGCATTGTTAATATCCAATTGGTGAATATGCCATTCCTTAGCAGCCGCCACTGCCAAAAGAGTTTTTACAGTCACTAGCTTTGCAACTGGGGAAAAAGTCTCTTCATAATCTAAACCAGCTTATTGAGTAAAGCCTTTGGCCACCAAACGTGCCTTTTTCCTCTCTTCAGTACCATCAGAATTCATTTTAACCTTGAAGACCCATTTACAATCAACTGGAGTCTTGTGAGCAGGAAGCACTGTAACCTCCCAGGTATTGTTGGAAACTAAAGCATTATATTCATCATCCATAGCTGCAATCCAATCCAGATGGTGAGATGCTTCAGCAAAAGATTTGGGCTCAAAAATAGTAAACAGAGCCAGTGTAAAATTTCTGTGATGAAGAGATAATTGATCATAGCCCAAATGATCTTCAATAGGATATTTTATGCTGGATTCAATCTCTTTCTTCATAGAAGCCGATTGAGGTGACAATTGAGACATGAGACTACAGTGGTAATCTTTCAGATAAGAGGGAGCACGTTTGACTCTGGTGGATTTTCTGATAGGTGTGACAGGTAAAGAGGTAGGATCAAGAGATGGACCATTGTCAGGATCCACAGGAGAAGCATCAATTGGAGAGTTGTGAGGGGTTGAAACATGATGATTGTCTGTGATAGGTCTGGAAGAAGTTTCATCCATATGCTGATGATTTCTGATAGGAAACAAAGTGGGGATTAGGTCAACTGAACTTTCAGATTTTGATAGGAAATGAAGAAATGAGAGATGATGAAAGGGGAAGATGTTCTCAAAAAAAGAGACATATCTGGATACAAAGACCACTTTAGTTTTGAGATTGAAAAGCTTATAAGCTTTTACTCCAAAAGGGTAGCCAAGAAAAATGCAAGGCACTGCCCTTGGGTCAAATTTTGATCTATTCCTTCTCAAGGTAGAAGCGTAGCACAGACATCCGAAGACTCGTAAGTGGTTGTAGAAAGGAGCTGTCTGAAATAGTGTTTTATAGAGAGTTTTATTTTCTAAAAGACTCGTGGGAGTCCTATTTATGATATAGGTGGCAGTTAAGAGACAATCTCCCCAAAATTGGTGAGGAAGGTTAGCTTGAAACTTAAGAGCTTAAGCAACATTGAGCAAGTGTTGATGTTTCCTCTCAACTACCCCATTTTGCTGAGGTGTTTCGACACAGCTAAGCTGATGAATAATACCCTTGGAAATGTAGAAATCAGGCATTTGAAATTCTAATCCATTGTCAGATCGGATGGTTTTTATGTTGCACTGAAAGTGAGTCTTAATAAGATGCTAGAAGGATTGAATGAGGACTCTAGCCTGAGACTTGTTCTTCATGAGATAAGTCCAAGTCATTCGAGTAAAATCATCAACGATAGTGAGAAAGTATTTCGAACCATTCAAGGA